TCTGTGTAAAAAAAAAACTTGTCTCCTTTAAACTTTCCCTCTCTCACCTTAAACCTATGGCTCCCTGGTATTTGATATTCCTGGGATAAAGACTTCAAATATCCACCCTATCCGTGCCTCTCAAAATTTTATATATTTCTATCAGGTCGTCTCTTGGCCTCTGACGCTTTAGTGCAAACAAACCAAGTTTGTCCAACCTCTCCTTACGGCTAATGTATTCCAATCCAGGCAACATCCTGGTAAATTTCTTTTGCACCTTCTCCAAAGCCTCTACATCCTTACTATAGGGTAGCGAGCAGAACTGCATACAGTAATCCAAATGTGGCAGAACCAAAGGCTTATCCAGCTGTGATGTGTCTTGCCAACTTTTATACTCAGTGCCCTGAACAGTGAAGGCAAACATGCCTTACATCTCCTGTACCACCTTATCCAATTGTGGTGCCACTTTCAGGGGGCTGTGGATTTGCAGCCCAAGATCCCTCTGTATGTCAGTGCTCCTAAGGATTCTGCCAACGGGGTTTCTCCAGCAATTTCTGTTTTTGGAGCAGGTTTTACATGTCATTTTCTCATTTCAGCTAATCCAGCAAATTTAGGGTTAATATCTCCACAATTAAGTTGCATTAAGTATTATACTGCATTGCTTTAAATATTATACTGCATTTGGCTGAGAAAATAGATATAAGTAGTAGGTTACTGGAATATTTTAGGGTTAGCTTCTGTAGTAGCAGACATTCCAATCACTGCTTTCCACCAGACATAGACAGATTTAGAAATGGCAAATCTTCCACAAGTCATGAGAAAGTACTGCCCTTGTAACAAAGAAAATCAGCAAGTTACATGGTCAGTTGCAGGCACTACAAAATATACAAGTCAGATTAATAAAACAGCAGAATCTCACAGCAGATCTGAGTGTTCAATGGCTTCAATTTGCTTCTTCACCCACCATGCTTCCGATACACACATCCTAGCTCCATTGGAGAATTCTCATCTCTGCATCAGAAGCTTGAGAATTCAAGTCAATTGAGGACTTAAATGTACTAAAATAAAAAAAAGCCAAGAGCTGACACGCAGTGCTGTACCAAGGGTGTGTTGCACTATCACCGATGCCAAATAAGGTGTTAAATTGAGACTGCCCCATCATGATGGTTGTAAGTGATCCTGCAGCACCGTTTTGAAGAAAGGGAATTATCCAGGCTTTCTGGCCAATCTTTATCCCTCTAATGCCTTGAAATCCCTGGAAAGATCAGTTTCCCTGTGACTGTCTGTAATTTTGTAGATCACACATTTGAAGGTGAAGGATTGAATCAAAACCAATTCCCTGTGCCATTCGACAATCCAATGCCCAGGCCATGTGAGCCCATGGTTCTAGGATACATTAATGTCAGCTGTAGCTCAGTCTGTTCCATTATACACCAGAAAGCTGAGTGTTCCAGTCACAAACCAGAGACCTGGGCGCAAGGTCCAAGGTTGATACTCTAACATTATACTGACCTGTTAGAGCAGCTATGTTACTACAAAACAAGCTTGATGTTGGGAAAACGAGGTGTTGAAACTAGAACAGGTAACTAGCGGATTATGCTTGCTGCTTTGTTAGAATGACCTTCATGTTCCCATGCAACCAAACTGCCTCCAGTCCAGGGCATAATCCACAAGTATAATGGGGAGGCAATGGCCTATTGGTATAATTGCTGGACTGTTAATCCAGAGACCTAGGTAACATTCTGGGGACCCGGGATTGAATCCCACCGTGGCAAATGGTGGAATTTGAATTCAATCAATATCTGGAATTTAGAATCTAGTGATGACCATGAGTTCATTGTCGATTGTCAGAAAAACCCTTCTGGTTCACTAATGTCCTTTAGGGAAGGAAACTGCCATCCTTACTTGGTCTGGCCTACATGTGACTCCAGAACCCACAGCAATGTGGTTGACTCTTAACTGCCCTCCGGGCAATTAGGGATGGGCAATAAATGCTGCCTCACCAGCGACGCCCTCATCCCGTGAATGATTAAAGGTAAAAATGAATAAAGGTATAAGCTGCATTCCGCCCTTGCAAAGACATTGATATGTGGCATCTGTAGATCCCTGACAACCATTGTGTCACCACTCTGAAACACTGGCACTGCACTATGGAAGCATAGACTAGCATTGTAGGGCTCACTCACAACAAGCATAGAAAGGCTGCTGCAAGGATACTTTGCGCTCAGGGACATGAACCCAGCTCATGGATTGGGCAAGGCTGCATCTCTGGGCTGCTCAGTTGGTCTCTCGGTGTTTGCTCACTTAGCACCAAATTGTGTGCTGACAGCATCCATTCATCACTTTGTATTGCTGTGCGGATCAGTGTCACACAACTAGGCAGGGTTGCCTCGCTGGTCAACAGTTTGCCGTTAATTGGACAGCCGTCTTGCTGCATGGCAACGTGCCATGTCAGTCTCGCTCCTGCACTATGTGTCAGCAGTGAGTGAGGAGACATTTCATCACCCAGACAGCAGTGAGCCTGTGGAACCACAGAAAGTGGTTAAGGCCAAAGAAGAAGGTAGATAAAGTTCTTGGGGCAAGAAGGGTCAAGGAATATGGGAGAAGGGGGGATTAAGGCATGAAGCTGGATGATCAGCCATGATCATATTGAATGGTGAAACAGTCTTGAGGGGCCGAATGGCCTACCCCTGCTTCTCTGTTTTCTGCATGTGCACCAAGCAGACATGGAGACAGAGTAGCAGCGCTGAGCCTGGGCTCGTTCTCTCCCATCTGCTTTCTTTCCCTTTTTATTTTCTTCTTTTTACTTTTGCCCTCGTTCCTTTTTTTTTGTTTCTTTCTTCATTTTCTTTCCTTTAAAGACGGAGAGTGGTGGCTGAAGAAAGAGGCCTCCAGCAGCACCAGACACAGCTCCACCTGAGCCCGGAGTCTCCTGGCGAGCGAGGAGCAGGTTTCGGGATGACACCCCCCCAGCCCGGATCCGCAGGCTAGGCTGAGGCTCCAGGACCATAGCTAGGCCCGGACACCTGAAGGATAGGAAGCGTCAGCGAAAGGGACAGTGGAGGATCCCAATGACCAGTGGCCTGCAGTAGTGTTTGGAGAAGCGTCGGATAGGGAACAGGAAGTATGGAACCCATGTACCCCCAGTCCCGTGGCTCCAGCAGGGATGCAGATGTCGCGGGAGTGGCCGTGACAGAGGCCTGTAACCGAGACCCTGGAGCCTGTTACAGAGACCCCAGCCGACATCAAGCAGTGCCTGGAGGAGCAGCGGAACAGGAACAAGAAGGACAGAGAAAGATGAACTCTATTGCAGTAAAACTTTGCTTTATATTCAGCATTTCAGGATGGTGGTGGAGCATGGCGACACTTAGCATTTAACATGTGAAAAAACACTTTTCACTGTATTTTTATGTACATGCGACAATAAATCTAAAACTAATCTACATGTCTCAAAATCCTAGGGGCGCAGTCCTCACTGGAGTCAATGGAAGCTCCAGTCAGACAGGGTTTCCCAATACAGTTATTCAGGGGCAGTCTCTGATACAAGCACAGTGTAACATCTATGGATCTGCTCAGTGTGGTTCCGGTCAGGGAGTCAGTGCCTGGGGAGTGGGTCACAGTAGTCGCTGTGCCTACACGGTAGCTGGACTTGAGGAAGATATACACGTATCAGTGAGGGGTCTGGATACATCTCACTGGCCGATCAGACCACTCAAGGAGGTGGTGTTTGTTGGCACCATCCACAGAAGCTAAGATGAAAGATGGTCACAGTCAGTTCATGGACAACAGTGACTGTTAACACTTGTTAGGTCAGTCGCTGGGACTGGGACCCACAGGCTCTGAAGAATCGATTCTAATTGTGAAGGAGGTGGAAGGACAGTACTGTCTTCAAAGAGGCATAGAGGACCGCAGGGGTGGACAGGGGGTTGTGTGGGTGCAGGGGTTGTCCACAGTGAAGAGCACCCTGGCTTCAAGCAGATTGGGGGAGGAACACCCACACCTGGCACAATTACCTCCCATGCCAGGAGCTAGATGGGAGACATGGATAGGTGCTAGTGCACGTAGGTGAGTCGGGTGAGTGCCTGGGGAAGTATGAAGGCTGTGGGACTTACAGAAGGAGTTCTATAATGGGGATGTGGAAGTTTTGGGATCACCAGTACATTCAGGTGGACCACTGGCTGGAGAGCACTCAGTGGTCACCTTGCACTGTGCTGGAAATTGAAAGCCTGCCAAGGGGAAGGAGTTGGTTCCACACACACTCTGAGTGGGACTCCATTTGTGATGAAAGGACCTGCACCAATGTTAGGGCTTATAAAGGGAAAGAACATTGTGCACACGCCCATGTACTGTACATGACACAAGCCAGAGGGGTGACCTTATAAAGGTTTATAAAATCATGACGGACACAGATAAGGTGAATAGCAAAGATCTTTTCCCTAGTGTATGGGAAATTCAAGACTAGGGGGCATATGTTTAAGGTAAGGAGAAAGATTTAAAAGAGACATATGGGGAACTTTTTTACACAGAGAGTGGTTCATGTGTGGAATGAACTTCCAGAGGAAGTGGTAGATGCGGGTACAGACAATGTTTAAAAGACATTTGGATAAGCACATGAATAAGAAATCTTTGGAGAGATATGGGCCAAACGCAGGCAGGTAGGACTAGTTTGGTTTGGGAACATGGTCGGCATGGACTGGTTGGGCCAAAGGGTCTGTTTCTGTGCTTCCTGCGTGGTTCACCCCCCACTCCCCAGTGACATACAAAGTATCTCGAATTTCAGGAGAGTCAGTTATCAAGTATATTCAATGTGACAGGTTTTGGATTACAATTAGAAGTTTTTGAAAAGGACCTAATAATATCATGTAGCCCCAATCTCCAACACTGAAAAACACTGGCAGTGTTGAGTGAAATGTATTGTTCAATATGGTACAGTTGTTGTGGTATACAGTGTTTGTGACAGGCCTGTATTTAGCAGTGAGGCTGTTATAACATGTTTCCTTGTTTCGTTTCCCTGTACACAGGAATTGCAGCAGCGACTATGTTTCAGAGTGAAAAGGACCTGCAGCTTTCAGATCACCAGCTCAGGGTGGCATTCGATGGAGATGCTGTTCTTTTCTCTGACGAATCAGAAAAGATCGTGAAGACTCAAGGATTAGATACGTTTTTTGAACATGAGCTGAAGTTTGAGGACAAGCCACTTGCACAGGTTAGATGACACTTACACAATACAGCGGCAGTACTATGGCTTTAAGAGGTGTATTTTGTCCTTTCTTTTGAAGAAGGGTTGAGACAGAAGTCGGCTTTTTTTCCATTAAAAAAAGGATAAAATACATCTCTTAAAGCCATCGAATCCCTACAGTGTGGAAGCAGGCTATTCAGCCCATCGAGTCCAAGGAACATCCCACCCTGACCCACATCCCTACCCTATTGCCCTGCATTTCCCATGGCTAATCCACCTAGCCTGCATATCCTTGGACACTTAAGCATGGCCAATCCACCCTATCCTACACATCTTTAGACTGTGGGAGGAAACCCACACAGACATGGGGAGAAAGTGCAAACTGCACACACACAGTCGCCTGAGGCTGGGCTCGAATCCAGGTCACTGGTCCTGTGAGGCAGCAGTGCTAACCACTGAACCACAGTGAGACCTTGACCGTCATAGCAGAGTTAGAAATTTGGTCCAGGAAATATTCCCAGCCCAGCTGAGACTATTCTGGTAGGGGAAGGTATCTCTAACACTGGAGCAACAGATGAAGTTTTTAACTTTACAGGAGGACACAAGTCATATTTTTTCATTCAGTAGAATGTGACCATGAAGCCAAAGTGATGGCTTGCCAACCTTTCAAATGAATAACATGCCATTTGAATTTCAGTGCCAGTATGATGCCAGGTAAGCCATATGCCCCAGTAACTGGCAGAACATGTCAAACAACACAGCCCTTTCACTGCCCACAGTGGCAGCATATATTGTCTGCTCAAACAGCCCATACTTCAAAACCTAGTCCATATAGTGACCAGCATATAGGATTTTCCTGAAGAAGGGTCACAGGACTCAAAACGTTAACTCTGCCTTTTCTCCATAGATGCTGCCAGATGTGCTGAGTTTTTGTTCAGACCTCCAGCATCTGTCATTCTTTGCTTTCTGTTATATGATTTTCTTACTCAGCAACATTTACTAAATAATTCTGTTTATGCTAAAAAAAAAATTACACCGGAAACCAATTTAAGATTATCAGCTGGATTTTTGGTGTGAGACAAAAAAAACTGCAGGTGCTGGAATCCAAGGTAGACAAACAGGAGGCTGGAAGAACACAGCAGGCCAGGCAGCATTTGGAGGAAAGGAGCAGACAATGTTTCGGGTATTACCCTTCCTGAAACGTTGACTGCTCCTTTCATCCAGATGCTACCTGGCTTGCTGTGTTCTTCCAGCCTCAGGTTTGTAGTGTGATTCATTTCACAGGCTAGAAGTTACATACATTGACAAAGACCCTGTTCTTTATAGGCAAAAGGCATTTGCCCACACTTTTCATAGGATCCCTATAATGCAGAAGTAGGCCATTTGGCCCATCAAGTACACACTGATCTTTGAAGAGCATCCCATCCAGACCTGTTCCCCTACTCTATCCGCATGAGCCTTCAGTTTTCATGGCTAATCCGTGTAGCCTGCATATCCCTGGACTCTCTGAGCAGTTTAGCATGGTCAATCCACCTAACCTGCACATGTTTGGACTGTGGGAGGAAACTGGAGCAAACCCACACAGACACGGGGAGAATGTGCAAACATCACACAGACTGTCGCCAAGGCTGGAATCGAACCCAGGTCCCAAGCGCTGTGCGGCAGCAGTGTTAACCACCGAGGAACCATGCTTTACAGCCTATTTGTTGAGGGGAGGGTTGTTGAGACTTCCCAACTTTTCTACATACTCTGCGGCTAATATGATGCAATAGTTAGGTAACGGGTAAAGATAGCTGGGAGTAATTTTGTGAAGTTGAATGGTGTGTTAACAATAAAAAAAGCATAAGCTTGTAACAAGCAAAAAGCTCATAAGATACTACATTCCATACTTCTATTGAACTTTCTAAATGCCTCAGAAATATAGACAATCAGTAAAGATCTGTGGGGAAAATAAAGACCTTTGAAATGTGGATATTAAGATGAATGATACAAATTCTTATTTACGGACCATAAGACAAGTGATGAAAGTCTTGACATGGAAACTCGCACATGTGACAGAAACCTGATGTACTTGGAATAGAGGAGTAGCAACAGAATCCATTTCCACAAGGCTTCTAAAGGTTTCTGGAGAAAATTCCACCTGAGGCATCATCCTGGAGAGCTTGCCAGCGCAGGGTATCATGTGAGCATCGTAACACTCTGTTAAAATGATCTAAGATCAATTTTAATTTGGTGGGGGTGGTGGGTACTGAATGGCATGGAAGTGACTAAGAGATTTGAGGCTTCAGATCTCTAGACAGAACATCATTTTCCCCCACTGTGTTGCACCTCCCCACCTCTTCCTCCCTCCAACTCCACCCTCGCTAAATGTTAACATCCACCGCACAATCTCCCTCACTGTATGGAGTGGGAAATTCAAATTTTAAAGATCATTTTCCAGAATAAGGGAAGAAACTGCTGAAATCTAGAAAGGAATATTTTATTCACGATTATAAATCAGTTGGGAAAGAGAGAGACACTGAAGTTCCCATCATCAAATGAGAGGAACATTAAGAGGAAAGAAAACAATATTTTGTCTATTTTGAATCAGATAAAACTGCTTTTGCCCCACCCCATCAGATTGAGTTTGCCACTTAATATAAGTGAAGCATTAATGTGTATTTTATCATTAGATTGCCTTTCTGTACAAAGTAAAAAGCAACATCTTTCTCACATTATTATACTTTAGGTAGTTTGCAGAAGTTTTGGAGAGCTGCCAATTCCATTTATTCCAAATTGGTTTTGACTTGAAAGAACATGGGGTGGTAGGAGCAGTAAAGAGACATACTTTTGAGGTAATAACTGGTAACTGATTCAGCAATTACCTTGGATGACAGAAGTGTAAAATGAGAAATTATCTTTAAGTAGAGGCTCGAGATATCTGCTCTAGCAACCGTTACCCCGCAATCGTTTCTGAAAGGTCTAATTTACTCATTTACTTTGCACACAGGGTCCTCTCAAAGGATTTCTGGAAGTTTTAGGAAAACTTCAGAAGAAGTTCCATGCCAAGGACTTGCGTTTGAACTGTCCCATCAGGACTTACCTGGTGACCGCGCGAAGTGCTGCAAGTTCTGGAGGAAGGGCTTTAAAGACTCTTCGCAGCTGGGGCCTGGAGGTTGATGAAGCACTTTTCCTTGCAGGGGCACCTAAAGGACCACTCTTGGAAAAAATACGCCCTCACATTTTCTTCGATGACCAGATGTTCCATGTTAAAGGAGCACAAGCACTGGGAACAATTGCAGCACATGTTCCTTATGGCATGGGGCAGAAATACAACAAAAGCACCCCCATAACTGAATCTCCAAAAAAAAGTTAATCTTGAGCAGGATAAACTAACTCCTATATATATATATAGTTTACACCTGTGCTGCATCATTCTATGCTACCTGTAAGTGCAATGTGAAAAAATGTCAATCCTGATCAAAATTTGGCTTTATTCAGTGGGGTCTATTCATCAAAGCACTTAGACAAATGTTTACCTCCTCTTTTTCACATTTTCTAACGCTGCAGTTCAGTTTTTTATATTGTCTAGCTTAGGTGCAGGAGGACTGCATGAAATTAGTCAATTTAATATTTTCATGTTGTATTTAATTTGAGCACAGTAGTCTTGAAGCAATTTTGTTCACATAGAAATGAACATCTTGCGTTACTTTCTCTTTAAAACTGGAACCATTTGAAATTATTCGAGGTAGCTTTTCTTTTTAAAAGCCACATGAAGTTTACAGAATGATCAGGCGATCACCAACATTTTCCTCGTCTGGCAGCATCAGTGGAGAGAAATCAAAATTAACATTTTGGATTGAGTGACCCTTCCTCAGAGGGAGTTTTGAGGTATGGTCACTCGACCTGAAACGTTAACTCTGATTTCTCTCTACTGATGCTACCAGACCTGCTGAGCTTTTCCAGCAATTTCTGTTTTTGTTCCTGATTTACAGCATCCACAGTCCTTTCAGATTTTACCAAAGTTTTCCAGTCTTGCAATGAATTGTGCTGAGTACTTGGCCTTGATTTTTAAAAAAAAATTAATCGATGATCAGAGTTTTCTCAAAGTGCTGGGAAAACCACTTCTGCGAAGTGAGTTTAGACCTCTCATTCACATTAGTAAAGGGTGAAATGCCTGCTTTCACTAGGGGTAAAGAATGAATCTTCATCGACAGTAGCAATATGGTGAGTGGCTCGCCTCTGCTGACAGTCCACCCATGCTACCCAATGTTGAGTCTCTTCTCCTCCCTAGTCCACCATTTTGAGGCCTTCAGTGACCACACAGCACCTGAGCAACAGGTCTCATATGACTCAATCCCTTGATGTTTGAATTCCCCTAGTGCTTAATGTTTTCCTTCGTAAACTCTCGGTGTGGTCTTTGCCCTTTACGCGCAGAGAAGAAATTGTTTTCATCCACCTAAATAATTCTTCTTATTTATCCGATTTTGTTGTTTAAATTAAAGATGTTTCAGTTCCTCCAATTCCCTCTTATAACTAATAACTCTGTTCCCTGATATCATTGCTCAGCACTACTGGGCTTAAACAAGTTTTGACACTACATTGCAGTTGATGTTAAATTGGAGGAAAGAATCTTATGCAACATGTGTGCTGGGAACACAAGACAGCAATGGGTATAAGTATGGTGGAGACCAATAATGTATGTGATATATGAATTCATTTTTAGGAACCACATAGCACCATATATTTTAATTATTTTCTCCTCAGTATACTAACAAGTGGCAACTATCCTAGGTCTCTGAAAGACTGGGATTCATAACTGTAACCCCCACCAATGGTCCCATGTTCAATGCTGTATTTATCTACAGAATGCAAAGAAAATTCGTCACTATGTTGCTCTTTCCTCCTGTTGTGCATCAAATCTGCTGTCTGTTTTATTGCCTGCAGTTGTATACATGTTTACATTTATGATTATCTCACAAAGTATTGCAATATTTGGGCAGAAGTCTAGGGTCACGGTGCAGGACACCATTACACATGAAACAGTTTGGGGGAGTTTGAAAAGATTGTCCAGGAATTAAACAGTGAATCTTGGGAAAATATTCCATTACTTCCTGTTTTCATTTTGGATTGTAAAATTGTAAAGTGCAATTGATTCTAAAAGTGATATCATTTGGAAGTGAATGTTTTGAATGAATGCTGTGTGATAGATTTGTTAAAATTTGTTTTTTTAGTCATTTGGACTAGGATGCCTGAGATGGTTCGGTAAATCAAATGTATTGGACGTTCCTCTGTGTTTTTGTACCTTGGTAATCACTATCCATTCATGAACTGCTATATTAGAGGAAGCAATGGCCTCATGGAATTCTCACTAGACACTTAACCCAGAAACTCAGCTAATGTTCCGGGGACCCAGGTTTGAACCTAGGTACGGCAGATGGTGGAATTTGAATTCAACTTCTATGGAATTAAGACTCTAATGACGGCATAACATTATCAATTGTTGCAGGAAAGCTCATCTGGTTCACTAATGTCCTTTAGGGAAGGAAACTGCCATCCTTACCTGGTCTGGCCGACATGTTACTATGGACCCAACAGCGATATGGTTCACTCTTAACTGCCCTCTGGGCAATAAGTACTAACTTAGTCAGTGATAGCCACATCCTGTGAATGATTTTTCTTTTAAAACAGTGAGAAATCTTCAGAAGTAATTTTTCAAAGGTTTTCTGATTAGTTCATTCACTTAACACCTTAACACTTAACAAGCAATTAGAGATGATGTCAGTCTTGAAAAAACCTGTTTTTCTGTGAATTCCTGAATAAATGTTTAGTGATTGTAATAACATCAGTCAGCTGGACCTCATAGAATATGATTTCCCTGATTGGGACTGTTAATCTGATCCAGTCAGGGAAACCTGGCTGACATGAAAGGATAAATTTCAGCGATATTGAGCCCCAGAATGTCTGACTCAGCAAGATGCAGTGCTATTGTCAAAAACTATGTATTTGTACATAAAGGGTGACTGGTAATGGGATACTAGCCTCTGAAGAGTTATTTCAAAAAGGAGTGTGAAAATGACAGCAGAGTTCCCAACTAACAGAACTTTTCCTAAATTAGCAATCACACTTAAAGAACCATAAAGATGGCTACTCTATGAAATGTAAATGTCATATAGAAGCAGTACAATATCTTTTGTCCTGATTGGAGATTGTTCCAAGAGATTCTAAGTAAATTGTCACTTATTTTGTGTCTAACAATGATTATCTGTTGGTCAGTACTACTCTCATTTAATGGGTGTTATAGGTCAAAATACTGGAATTACCCATCCCACCCCCATACCTCTGTGGGTATACTTGAATATTCTGCAGTCCATGGGGTATAAGAAGGCAGCACAGCATCTTCTCCAGGCCTGTTAGGGATGGACAATAATTGCTGGTTTAGCCCGTAATGCTCACATCCTATGAATGAATAAATTTTAAAAAAACAGGTAAGGAACTGATATCAAATTTTAATACCTCAATTTCTTTTAGAATTAGGAGTAATAAATGAGTTGTATAAAAATGTGTCCTTCATAGGATTAACATCTGTAACAAACAAGAGGTAATTTTCCACTCTGTTCTCCTAGCAACTGAGATTTGGAAAATATCTAAATGATGCTGCCTTTAACTCAAGCATGAAAGAAATAGTCAGAGCCATTAATGATCAATGACATCTGTAGTTTGCACTTGGATTATTTCAGTATTTTGTTGTAAAAATCACGTCTTTCTTCCCATTTAAAAAAAAAATTAGCTGCACAGAACTCACACCATTTATTTCCATGCTTGGTTACAATAGTCTCTAGTAGTATATTGACTTAAGTTTATCTTTTTGCATTGTGGTTTTATTTTATTCGTTTTGTTACCAACAACTGCTTTTGTGCATATTTTTAAAGTATACTGTACTTGGTCTAATTTCAATAAAGCTGGCTTATATAAACTCACAATCAATTTGGTATTTGCTATTTTGCACCAAAAGCGTTTTTAATGGATTAAAAGGAAAATTCCAAATGTCAGAAAGGTGAAACTGACAATCCTGTAAGTCCTTGGTGGACCAGGTCAGCGAAAGAACTGAGAGGCAAGGATCTTCATCTAACAGCATTGAATCCTAATGCCGATGTCAATGTAGACTTCTCCCAAGCAAAAATAAACAACTTATTTTCTGAAAAATCACAGTAGAAGAGATAACAGCGTAGTCTCACGAGCTATTTTCGAACACTTTTCACTGGGTAATGGTGATTTCTGGGATCTGGGTGTCATCTATGATTCACAGAAGGTTGGTATGTAGGTGCAGCAAGTAATTGGAAAGGCGTATAGACCAAGGACATTCACTGTATGGGAATCAAAGTGGAAGATTTTTGTACAGTTGTACAGGGTGCTGGCAAGATCATCTGGATGGTGTCAAGCTTTGAGTGTTTTTGGAGCTGCACTCAGGTAGGTTAAATGGAGAGAATTCCCATCATGTTCTTGATTTGTGCCTTTTAGATGGTGGACAGTAAATTGGGAAGACAGGAAGTGAGTTACTCACTGTCAGCTTCCTAGCCTATAACTCTACTCATGTAGTTACAACATTGATATGGTTAGTCCAATGTAGTTTCCAGTCAATGGTAACACTCAGGAATTTGATAGTTGGGTAAAAAAACAATGGAAATACTATTGAATGTCAAGGTGTGATTGTTAAATTTTCTCTTGTTAGACATGGTCACTGGCTGGCATTATTACACAAATGTTTTGCTATTTGTCAGCTCCAACCTGGATTTGTTTAGTACTTGCTGTATGTAGATAGGGACTGCTTCAGTATCTAAGGAGTCACACATAGTGCTGAACATATGGTAACCATCAGCAAATAATGGAGAGAAGGGCATTGATGAAACAACTAAAGGTGGTTGGGCCGAGGCAACTTAGTTCCCAGCCTAACGAACCAGGTCTGTTGTAGTGCAATGTCCCTACCTCTAAGGCAGGGAGCCCAGTTCAAGTTCCACTTGCTCCAGGGGTATGTCATAAAATCTCTGAACAGGCTGATTATATGTATCAATCCTGAGGAACTGGAGGGCTTTTAGGGTGAAATGGAAGTATCCCTATCACTAGGCAAGAAGGCCCACATTCAGCTATTATTTTTTTTTTCATCTTTCTTTGCTTTGTTTCCTTGGCTGTGAAAGACTGAGTTTTCTTTGCCTGCTTGCAGCCTAGTGGACCCTCTCTGGTCTGCCTCCAATCTCAGTATACCTTCCTTTAGAAAAGGTGCCTAGAACTATTTGCAGGACTCCACAAGTGGTCTGACTAATGCCTTGTACAGTTTTAGCAAAACCTCCCTACTTTTATATCCCATTCCCTTTGAAATAAGGGCCAATATTCCCAATAACCTGCTGAACACATATGCTGGCTTTCTGTGATTTATGGATAAGGACTCCCAAAACTCCCTCTGTTCTATAGTTTTATGTATGCAAATATAAATAATCTTCAGCTCCTCTATTCTTTGGCTTAAATGCATAACCTTATACATTCCCACATATTTTCTATCTGCTAAGTTTTTGTCCATTCACTTAATCTGTCTATATCCCTCTGCAGACTTGGTGTCCATCCCACCATTTGCCTTCCCACCTATTTTGGTATCATCTACACAATTGACTGTAGGACATTCACTTTCCTCATCCAAGTCCGCTAGTTATAGGTTTCTATCCTGAAAATGCCCCCCTTTATCCCAACTCTGTTTTCTAATAGTTAGCCAATCCTCTATCCATGCTGGTATATTACCTCTACCATCATAAACCCTTATTAATTGCTTAATGTGCAATATCTTAACATCTACTGAAAACCCAAATATATTACATCCACCAAAACTCCCTTATCAATCCTGCTTGTCACCTTGTCAAAGAATTCTAATAAATTTGTCAGGCACAATTTGCTCTTTGTGAAGACATGCTGTCCCACTTGATCATAATATGTATTTCTAAATGCTCTTTATAATTATAACCCTTATAATAGAGTCTAACATTGTCCAAATAACAGATATTAAGCTAACTGGTCTACTGTTACTGATTATTTTTGAAATAAAGGTGTTACATTAGCAGTTTTCCAATCCTCTGGGACTTTTCCAGATTCGAAGGATTCCTGGAAGATTACTTACCTGTGCATCCACTACCTCTGGTAGCTACTTGCTTTAATAACCGAGGATGCATCCCATCAGTCCAAGGGACCTGTAGGTTTTTAGTCCCATGAGTATCCTGAGCATTTTCTCTCCAGAAGTCTGAAGGAGGCTGATAAAAGAGAGTAAGGGGGAAGTCAGTAGATGTGCTTTGGAAGACAAGAAAGAAAATATTTCAGAACACTTAGCAAAAATTATTCTGGTCAGAAAAAGATTCAATGAGAAAGATGCAGCATTAACAAAGGTGGTCAAGTAAAGTATCCAATTAAAAAATTAAGGCATGCAACGTGGCAAAAAAAAGTGAAGGGCCAAAGAATTGGATATTGCTTTAGAAAGCAACATGGATTATGAAAAAGCTAATAAAGAGGGAGAAAATTGATAATAAAATTAAACTGGCAATAAACAGAAACAAACAGTAAGTGCTTCTTAACAGAAAGAGATTAGCTAAAGTGAGTGTGGAACCCTTGCAGGATAATAGGGAACAGGGAAATGACAGATAATTTTAAACCAATATCTTTCATCCATCTCCACTGTGAAGGACACCATAAACATCCTAAAAATATCAGGTAAGCGAGGTGCTAATGGGAGGGAGGCCCTCTATCACAAGGGACAAATTATTTGACAAATTAATGGGAATGAAGGCAAGAAAATCACCAGAACCCAGTGATCTGCATCCAAGAGTTTTAAAGGAAATGGTGGCAGAGATAGTTGAGGAGTTGGCTGAAATATTGCAGAACTCACTGGATTTCAAATGTGTCCAGTGGCCTGGAAAATTGCCAAAATGATGCCACTTCTCAAGCAGAGGATTTGACAGAAAGCATGATACTGTCAGGCAGCTAGCCTAGCACGTGTTATTTGGAAAATGCAGGGTTCCACTAATAAGGAAGAAATAGCAGGACGTTTCGAAAAGCATTTGATTTTTGATTTTGATTTTATTGTCACATGTACCGAAATACAGTAAAAAGCTTTGTTTATGAGCGGTACAGGCAGGTCACAGCAAGCAAAGGGCATGCAGATCAAAAAGACTTAGAGGCATACAGGTTACATTGCAGGTTACATAACACAATCAGACAGAGATGGTTTTGTGAAAGGCATTCTATAACGTGCCTCATAGAAGTTTATTGCAAAAGATAGGTGCTTATAGTAATGAGTTAGCTTGGATTGAGGATTGGCCTACACCGAGTCCAGGTTATTGGATCTTTTTGGGTCAGATTGCAAAGACATAACTAAGGGAGTACCACAAGGATTGGTCATAGGGCCTCAATTACTTATCAACTGTATTAATGACTTGGAGGAGGAGGCAGAGGATATTGTATGCAAACGTTGTGATGATACAAAAATAAATGCCAGGGCATGTTGTGACGAGAACATCAGGAATCTGCAAGGGGATACAAATAGATTGAGTGGACAAAATCTTGGCAAATGGAGTTCAATGTAGAAAAATGTGAGATCACACACACTTTTAGGAAGAATAAGAGGGAGATTATTATGTAAATGGAGAGAAACACCAACAAAGTTCAGCACAAAGGAACATCAGTGTGCTTGCATTGGAAACACAAAAATTAGCATGAAGGTGCAGCAGGCAATTAAGAAGGCAAATGGAATTTTGGTCTTTATTGCTGGGGATGGGCCCAGGGAATGTGGAACTGTTCAGGGTATTGGTGAGGCTGCATTTGGAGTACAATTCTAATCTCATATTTAAGAAAGAGGATATTAATATGGGAGTCAATTCAAAAGAGTCTCACAAGGCTGATTCCTAGGGGATAACTTATCAAGAACAATAATGAGGTTAAGTCTTTATTCATTAGAGTTCAGAAGAATGAGGGGTGTTCGTATTGAGGCATACAAGACTGAGAGGGGGCTTGACAAGGTAGATATTGAGCTGATGTTTCCACTAGTGAGGACATATTTACAGATTGGAGGGACACTGATTTAAAACTGATTTGTGAAGGAATTTCTTCTCCCAGAGAGTAGTGAAAATCCAGAATTCTCCACCCCAGAAAGCAGTGAGGGCTCAATTATTGGAAATATATAAAGAGAGGGTGGATAGATTTTTGAAATCAAGGAGTTGAAGGTTATGAGGAATTAGCATGAGAGAGGAATTGAGGCCTGGGACAGATCAGCCATGATTTTATAGTATGGCAGGCTGGGACTGGGGAGCTGAATGGCCAACTCTTGTTCCTATTTGTGTTCTTAACAGTCGTTCATACATTAATTGTCATTTTCAGTACAATTTGTGTTCCTCAACAAATTGTGCCTGACAACAGTCTATGCTAGACTTTGTCCCCTTCTAAGAAATGAGCAGGATAGGGGTATTATACCCTTTGTCTCCCTTCAGAATAATGGTATTTTAGAACACACAACTTATTCAGTAAAATCCATGATCATTCAGTATAAAGTGAGTTCTTGATTAAATATAAATGCTACTCCAATAGACAATAGTCTACTCTCACTGCTAGCTCCAATGTTCAGCTGGCAGATCCACACAGTCCTTTCCTCAAGCACTCTTACCAACCAACCCACATGTTCATTATGCATTGTCGGAAAGAAGGGAGAAAATGGTGATAGAGCTTAATCAATGAGCATTTAGACAGTTATCTCAAGCTGACCCAGGACAAAGTATCAGAGTTCAAGATCTTCATACAAATACATGAGTTCATGGGAAAATACTATGACGTTCTGTACACCCAGGTCTTATAACGATGTCAAATTCAACAATGAAACAGGTAACACATTCAAATTCTACAGGATCAATCAGGAATGTGATAGAATACTCCCCACTTGCTTGGATGAGTGCAGCTCGAGCAACACTCAAGAAGCTCTAAACAAAAGCAAATTGCTGGAAACTGCTGAGCGTTCCCAGCAACTTCTGTTTTGTTTCTGATTTCCAGCATCCACAGTTCTTTAGTTTTTCTCAAGAAGCTTGACACCATCCAGGAGAAAGCAGCCCGTTTGATTGGCATTACATCCACAAGCATCCACTCCCTCCACCACCAACACTCAGTAGCAGCAGTGTGTATTATCTACAAGATGCACTGCAGAAATTCACCAAAGATCTTCAGGCAGCACCTTCCAAACCCACAACAACTTCCATCAAGAAGGAAAATGGCAGCAGATACATGGGAAAGCCACTTCTTCCAAGTTCCCCTCTAAGCCACTCATTATTCAGAGTTGGAAATATATCACTTTTCCTTCACTGCCCCTGGGTCAAATTCCTGGAATTCTAAGGGCATTGTGGGTCAAGCTACAGCACATGGACTGCAGCGGTTCAAGGAGTCAGGCCACCAACATCTTCTCATATACCATAAATGCTGGCCCATCAGTGACACTCGCATTGCACCAATGAATAAAAAACAGTCATCCCTCACTCGGGAATGATGATCGAATACTGCAAGTATCACACCTATAACCCATCATATACATCCATCTACAGTGTCAATCAGCACACTGTGGAGTGAAGCCATATAGCCTAGTCAAGATGATTGTCTGCAAATGTGTTATCTTAATGTATAAAGATACGTACCAATATGTACATGTTTATCAGAATGGGGTTCTCATTCTTCAAAAGGTAAAAAAGGGATGTTGTGTTATTGCACAAATCTCAAAACAATACTATAATTTTAAGATGGCTAGATGACATTAGGCCATGTCACACACTGAGATAAAGGGTTTCCATCGCACTCTCAGTTTATGACGCTGTTAAGCAGTAATTCAATATATATACATAATTTAACAGTGATTTAAGTAAACAGAGAACCCGGACTATGAGACAATTAGTTTATATACTTAATTTTGCTAATAAAGCATCATTAAGAGACATCTCCCTCAATTACAGATAGTAAGGACTGCCGATGCTGGAATCAGAGATCACACAGTGTGGAGCTGGAGAAGGGTCCAGACGCGAAACGTGAACTTTCCTGTTCCTCTGATTCTGTCTGGCCCGCTGTGTTCCTCCAGCTCCAAACTGTGTTATCTCTCAGGTAGAGCCAAGACTTTCTGGTATATGTTATATGGGCCAATTACAGGGAGTGACTCAGCCCATTCTCTAGTGGCAGTGGTGTTTTACCCAAAGGGAGCCACATTACTCATCAGTAGCGAAATTATATCATCCTGCTTCATCAACAAATTTCACATAGTCGGCGTATTGCAGTGTTCCAAAGTTCCCAATAGGCAGGCAGTCCTTTAGCTGAGGGCAGTTCGAGGAGAGTGTGAGAGTCAGAGGCTGTACCCAGGCTGGTGGTCCTCTCAGTGAGACCAAGTGCAGACGTGTTGTCTCCCCCCCCCCCCCCCACCTTGTGCTTGTCACAGAGGCTGGGCTGTTTGTGACGCTTCCCTGTGAGTTACCTGGTGAAGGAAGTAGCCTGAATGAGTGGGGTAGCCCAGGGACTGCACTGCCCGAAGACTCCATCCAACCTTGGTACACGTGTTTCCGAGCCTGCTCAGGCCGCCTACACAAGCAGCTGCACTTGTTGAGTTGGGAAGCAAGAACAGGGGAGCCCGGAAGGATGAGTGACACCGGCCTCTACTCGCTGAACGATATGGACCTCTGCGCTGTACCAGTTCCAGATAGACCCTCGTCAACAAAGAAAAACCGAGGAACAACAAACAAGACTCCCCCAATTATTGATAGGGACAAGAGTCAACTCCCGGCACAGTTGGAGGTAGGGAGGAACAACCTTTGTGTTTGTGTATGACTCTAGAAAATAAAACGAAAACAATCTAAACTTCTTTTGCTTTCTTTGTTTCTTTAGACCAAACCCCAGCAAGCCATCACCATCGCAGTGTCCTCCAGGACACTCTTCAACATGTCTGATGAAAGGGCTATCTATGAGTCTGATGGGTTGGAATCGTATGTGAAATACCAGCTGGATCACGAAAATGAGCCGCTCAGGAAAGGATTGGCTTTCGCCTTGATGAAAGTAGGACCAAGAGGCCTTTAAGCTTCCCCACTGGAGATCTGTTGGTTTTGGCTATCCCGATCAAATACTCGGAGACAGCAAGAACTGCAGAAGCTGGAGTCAGGGTCCATATAGTGTGGAGCTGGAGGGACACAGCAGGTCAGACAGCATCAGGGGAACAGGAAAGCTGATGTTTTGGGTCGGGACCTCTATTTTTTGAAGAAGGGTCCTGACCCGAAACGTCAGCTTTCCTGCTCCTCTGATGCTGCTTGGCCTGCTGTGTTCATCCAGCTCCACACTGTGTTGACCCCGATCAAATACTGTAGTGTGTTTGTGAAATCAGATTAAAGTATTGCATATTCGCGTTTGGAACACAGCGCTGATTACTTCTCGATTAGCTGCTTACCAGGCCTTGTATATTTCAGCTCGATGGGGAGGTCCTGTAACAAATACGTTGAATGAATTTTTCAGAGTTGTCCGGATTAAGTGTAATCTTCAGAAGTATCTAAGTGAGAGGGCCAGGATGAGCAAACATAATTCCATCCCCATGTTAAAAATGGTCCCCATGTTAAAAATTGATTCTATCTTCACTTAAAAAACATCATTTCAGAGCAAAGAGAGCTCAGTCCGGCAGATCATCACTTCTGCACCAATTGAAAGTGAGCAATTCATCTCATCCTATTTCTCTACCCTGTACCAGAAATGTTGTATATTGTTTCTTTTCAAATAACAGTGTAATTTCCTTTCAATAAATCTGCCTCTAGTACACTTTATATTCAAGGCTTTTAACCGCTTGTTGCATAAAAAAGACTTTCCTTGTGTTACTTTTCCTATTGCAAATCGCCTTAAATCTGTACCTTCTCATTCTTGATCCTCTGGTGAGTGGGAGCCTTTTTTTTCCCTATCTACTCTGTCCAGCCCCTCATGATTTGAATACCTATATTCAATCTCCTATTTAGGGAAAACAATCTCAACTCCTCCAATTGATCTTCATTTTTAATGTTCCTCATACCTGGAACCATTCTTGTGACTTTTTCTGTAGCCACTTTGAGGTTTCACATCTTTCCTAAAGTGAACCACCCAGAACTAGATGCAATGTTCCAGCTGAGGGCAAAATAGTGTCTTCTGGCTCTTGTGTTGATGCACGTATTGATAAATACTTGGACACTTTAGGCATAATTAACCACTCTCTGGACTTATCCTACCACCTTCGAAGACAAATGCACATTTGTTCCCAGGTTTCTCTGTCTCTGCACTCACTTTATGGTTGTATCCTTTAGTTTAGATTGAATCTTCAAATTCTCCCTACAAAAGTGAATCACTTCAATATTTCTCAGCTTTAAACTTCAGCCACTTGTCCACCCATTCCACCAACAATGATTTTTCTCCCTTTGGTGTTCTACTCTATCCTTCTCACAGTTTACAATGTATCATTCACAAATTTGGAAATTATGCCCTACATCTCCATAAATGCTGCCAGAATTGCCAAGCTTTTCCAGCAATTTCTGTTTTTGAAAATGTGCTCTGTATGCCAGGTTCCCTCAGGTCATTAATATAAATATCGGGAAAAGGAACATTGACTGTTGATAAACTCCGCTACAAACCTTCCTCCAGCCCAAAAGTAAACACTAGCCACTACTGTTCACTGCCACTCAGTCTCTTATCTATGTGGCTACTGTGTCTTTTATTCTGGGAGATATAACTTTTCTGTCAGGTGTGTGGCATCGCTCTGCATCAAATGTCATTTTGAAATCTGTCGACACTGCTTTGACAACATTGCTGTCTTAAACCATTTTTGTTACCTCTTCAAAAAGCTCCTCCAAGTTGGTTAAGGACTATTCTCCCTTGACAAATCATTGCTGGCCTTCCTGCATTTGTCCATGAGACTACTAATTTTGTCCTAAATAATTGCTTCTTCATGTCGCCCTACAATCACGGTTAGACCGTCTGGCAGTTGCTGAGTTTACATACTTTTTGAACAAGGGTGCAAGGAAGTGGTGGATGTGGGGTAAAATTACAACATTTAGAAGGCATTTGGATAAGTACATGAATAAAAAATGTTTGGAGGGATATGGACCAAGTGCATACAGGTGGGACTGATTTAGTTTGGGAACATGGTCGGCATGGACTGGTTGGACCGAAGGGCCTGTTCCCATGCTGTTTAACTCTATGACTCTCTCTGCCATTCTCTCGTCCTCACTCTCTGAATCTTAAGAAGACTAGAAAATCATGGCAAGTGTCTTCATAATTTTAATCATCAAGCTGAAGCCCATCTTTTTGGCCTCGGGCACATTTTTTTGTTGTTGTGTTATTTTGGAGAAATTGTCTCCACAGGACCTGGTGAGATATCTTACCACATTTTACCAAACACACCTCATTGCCTACCTACTTCAACCCATTGTGTCCCGCACATTTAATTCTAGCCCTATCTTACCATGTGCCATTCCTAGAGTAACTCACCATTCGTGGGGTATCCATCATGCACACCTGGCATTTGTGCCATCTGTAAAATTGTGCAGAGCTGTCCCACATAGATCCTGACATTTGCTCCTGGGCCTGGCAGACAGGAGGAAAGTGAGGGCTATGAGGGCACAATCCTGGCCCTCCTGCGGGATGTGGTGATGTTGAGGCAGGATGTCCTTTTGCTCCAGGATTAGCAGTGGAGACCATGATACCAGACCATGCCAGTTGCTGAAAGATCACCACCCTAGTTAGTGCAGTCTATGCCATCTGAACGTTTACCCAACACTGCAGGGAAATGATCAATATCCTTCCCACTTCATCAGCTTAAGTGCCACCACCATCTTCTCTCCACTACCTTGTACTCACTATCAATGCTACTGTACACATACCAAGGCTCATGCTCTATCTACCACTCTCATGAAACTTCTGCCCTCACTCACTGAGTGTTCTTGCTGCAGCATTACAATGATAATTGTTGGTGTAGCATTGAAATGCAGAAGCATGCCGTAAGTGGATTGGAGATGTGCCTTGAGGATCTCTAAAGGCTGGCACATTTGGATTCCACTATCTGTGGACACAGGGTACATGTGGCCAGGGCTCATGAAGCGTGCCCTGAAATATTTTTGCCTGGTCTCCAACATGGACCACCACAAGTGGCGAGCTGAAATCACCAGATTTCTGTTCTGATTTCTGTATTAAGTTTTCTGAGCATGTGGTTTATTTAGTCCATTTGGTAAGCTGGGAAGATAAACAGTGATGAGGTGAAAGCCAAATTCTGTGAATTCTGGAAATCTGAAACAAATAAAAATGCCAGAGAAAGTCAGCAGGTCTGGCAGCATCTGTGGAGAGAGAAGCAGAGTTAATGTTGAATCCAGTATGACTGTTCTTCAGAACTCCTGACTTCTTCAGAACTTCTTCAAACTCTTCTTCAGATCCTGAAGAAGATTTGTGAATGTTAACTCTGTTTCTTTCCCCACAGACGCTGTCAGACCTGAGTTTCTGCTTTAATGAGGTGAGTTGTGCTGTCAATAAAGGCTTTAACAAGCCATTGCCTAGTAAGAAACTTGCCATGTCGCTCAGCGAAAACATAAATGCTAGAGTGAGATGCTCCCAGTGCTGAGATAGGCCTTGCTGGACGTGTCATCTGATTCTGTCGCAAATCCCACAGGAATCCACATCACTGAGACCACTATAACACTCCACCCATTTATTTTGGAAGCATTGAAATAGAAACATAAGAATTGTTAGACAAACTAGACTATGGTCCCTCCAGTTTGCCATTAAATAACCTGGTACTACATGATACAGTCAAAGTAAAGTTATAAACGTGACAATTAAGCTGTATTAATTACTCTGCAATACACCCAGATACAGAGAAAACATCCAATGATGGGAAGTGTAGATCAAGAGTCATCTGTCCTCACCATTGGATGTTATATTTAGTTTATTAATAAGTTGAGGCATTGCATATACTGTGACCCAAAATATTATTTTACAAGTTTTCTAATTTGTGTTCCAATGAAACAACAATATCTCCTTCCACTGTTTTCATGGAGAACGGATTGAATAAAATTATGACAGGAGTTTGTTCATGCAGAAGGTCCTATGAGTTGTATAAATTGAAGTGTAATAATATCACCATTGACAGGCAGAGTCTAATTAGCATGTAAGAAGGAGGCAAAGGCAAGTTTCATGAGAGAGATGGACGTAGGAACTGATATTATTCCGATCCCCATATGGACCAATGACATATGAAAAGATATTTGAATTCCTGGTGACTGCCTTAAAGACGTTATACAACAAGATTTCAAATTTAAGACTTAGAATCATAGAGATATACAGCACAGAAACAGACCCTTGGGTCCAACTCGCTCATGCTGACCAGATATAAGGGGTGGCACAGTGGCTCAGTGGTTAGCACTGCTGCCTCACAGCACCAGGGACCTGGGTTCAATTCCACCCTTGGGCAACTGTCTGTGTGGATTTCCTCCAGGTGCTCTGGTTTCCTCCCACAGTCCAAAGATGTGCAGGCTAGGTGGATTGGCCATGCTAACTTGTCCTGTAGTGTTCAGGGATGTTTAGATTAGGTGTGTTATAGGGATGGGCCTGGTTGGGATGCTCTATGGGTCAGTGTGAACTTGTTGGGCTAAAAGGCCTGCTTCCATAGTGTAGGGATTCAATGATATCCAAGATAAATCTAGTCCCATTTGACCTGTATCCCTCTAAACTCTTCCTATTTATTGTTTCACTACCCTGCTGGGTAACATCATCAGTGCAACCTCCGATGAAGCGCTGTTGTGTTTTCCCGCCTGGTATTTAAAATTTAAATGTCATTTAAATGATAGGCGGGAAAACACAACAGCGCTTCATCGGAGGCTGCACTGATGATGTTACCCAGCAGGGTAATGAAATGTCTGCGGAACAACAAACCAGCTCGGCGAGCAAACCAACTACAACATTCACAACCCGAGCTACAAATCTACTCTAAACCCTTCCTATTCATATACCCATCCAAATGCTTTTTAAATGTTGTAATTGTACCAGCCTCCACCACTTCATCTGGCAGCTCATTCCATACATGCGCCAGCCTCTGTGTGAAAAAATTGCCCCTTAGGTCCCTTTTCAATCTTTCCCCTCTCACCTTAAACCAATGCCCTCTAGTTTTGGACTCCTCCACCCTGGGGAAAAGAACTTGCCTATTTACTCTATCCATGCCCCTCATGATTTCATAAATCTCTATAAGATCACCTTTCAGCCTCTGACACTCCAGAGAAAATAGCCCCAGTCTATTCAGCCTCTCCCTATGCCTCAAACCCTCCAACGCTGGCAACATCCTTGTAAATCTATTCTGAACCCTTTCAAGTTTCACAACATCCTTCCTATAGGAGGGAGACCAGAATTGCATGCGATACACAAAAGTGGTCAAACCACCAATTGTAACCATATCTGCAGTGAGCAGATTAGTTTCTGAGGAAAGGCTAGACAGGCCTGTATCTTTGGGAGTTTAGAAGAGTCAGAGGTGATTTAATTGAAATATGTAAGATCCTGAGGGGACTTGACCAGGTAGCAAAGTTGACTCGGTAGGTTTTGAAAGAATGTTTCCTCTTGTGGGAGAATCTAGAACTTAGGGTCATAGTTTTAAAATAAAGGGGCACCCACTTAAATTATTTGTTTCTCTTTCAGAGGGTTGTGAGTCTTTGGAATTCCCTTGCTCAAAAGGCAACAGATGCAAAATCTTTAAATAATTTCAAGACAGAGTTAGATAGATTCTTGATTATCCAGTAACCAGTGGGACTTGTTCTGTAGAAGCGTCACTGGACCTGAAACATTGACTCTGCTTTCTCTCTGCAACTGCTGCCAGACCTTCTGAGTTTCTCCAGCTACTTCTGTTTTCGTAAAACAAAATAAACTAGAGATTACTTATTTGGCAGTTAGAACCCTACAAAAAAGTTAATTCCTATTAATGTTCACACAAACAATAACACCACCACTAGCTTTATGTATATTTTATAGCATGATTTCCACAAATTACAGTCTTATCAGGAAATAATCTTTAGTCAATCCTAGTTTCCAATGGGTTCATTTCTCCTTGTTTCACTGAGTCATTATGCCCAGCATCTGTTACAAACTATTTCCCTCGTTCTTCTGAAAATTTTGAGACTGACTTCCAGCAGCGATGTTCATTTCGTGAGATTCCTTCCCGGCCTCACCAGAGTGAAGCTTTCAGTGACCTTAAATCTCTGCTCGTTCCATCTCTTTTCCCAGAGGGTAGGCTTTCACTTCCATCCCACCTGACAGTATTTCCCTCCTGTTCAAAATGCCTGCTGTTTCGCTATCTCTCTCTACCTCTCTTCCCCTGCTCCCTCTGCCTGTTCAAATCTCTGAGACAAAGACTGTAGTATTAACGTTCATTTTTGAATTTTTATACTTTAAGTCGAGTATATGTATTATAACAATGTGTGACTTGTTCTCCATGGCTTTTTGTTGGCATAATTTGGCTCAAATCATGTGACTCTCATCATTACTTGATTTTGCCTGAAATTAAAGAGATAGTTTAAAACATAACCATTTTATAAAAACTTGTGGCTCAGAGGTAGGGGCACAATCATCACACCACAAGAACGCTCAGAGCATCAGAATGACAATTTCTTAGCACAATGCAAGCTGATTTGATGACAATGTCCACAGTTTTCTCACTTAAAACAAATGAGGCCAAAGTTCAAACGGACTGACATCTCCATCTGTGTATTTCAGTTAAATCCCTGGCTTGTGCCAGAAGTTGGTGCAAGTTGAATTATTCTCTTCTGTCTGTTAGCTGAAAGTAGGTTTTCAAAATTTATAGAAAAATACGATAATTGTGTAATCAGTGCACATTTTCAGTTTGGTTTGCAGGAGTACACAAACATGCAGACATGCATATAAACATTTTGAAATTTGCCTCTAGCTTTCTTTCAGATTTACTAATAAGAGAGCTTTGCCATCCAGACTAGAACTGTTCAATTAAATTGCCTGCCCACACCGACTGGGCAACGCTGATAAATATAACCTTACATGAGGCCTGTATCCTGAGATCATAAAATAATTTTTAAAAATTGGCAGAATTTCTGGAAGCTGGATATAAATATTCAGTCTGTTCAACTTTCTCCTACTTCTGCATTTTGCAAATTTAGGTAAATTGCAAATTCTAAAAAATTGTGCATTCTGAATTCACCTGATAGAATCATCATTCAAAGCAGATACATGTGGTTCAAGATGAAGTTTTTGAAAGAAGCTATAATATTTTGTTGATTCCTCAATAAAAGCATTAAGGGACTCAAAAGGCAACTCATGTGATAAAATGATGGATAGTGGCATTTTAGAGAAAATAGAATTCAGCATGTCCTAATGACAAATAACTGTACAGCAACAAGAGGAATTGAAAGGCAATGTAGATGTAGGAATTTACAGTGAGCAAACTTTTATATAAAAGTGTGACTGAAAAGTTTGATGCCTTTGTGAACAGGAATTATGTGTAAACATAAGACTTACACTAAAAGCATAAAAACTATCTGAATTATATTGTTATAATTGGAAACCTCTATCTTATTTCCAGGCATTGGAGACCGTTAACTTTCGATTACATGAGCTTTATCCTGGCAGTGATGAAATATTTGATATAGTTCTGATGACTAACAACCATGCCCAAGTAGGAGTGAGACTGATAAACAGCATCAATCACTATGGTATGTATACTGTGACTTGTCTTTCCGTAACTAGTAGCAACAATTACCACCCATAGATTTATTTTTGCTAATTGTATGATGAGATGACAGGAACAAAAACAAAGTTGCTGGAAAAACTCAGCAGGCCTGGCAGCACCTGTGGAGGAGAAAACAGAGTTAACGTTTCGGGTCCGGTGACCCTTCCTCAGAACTGATGGTGGCTGGGAACAGAGTAAACGATAGGATAGAGCCCAAAGAGAGAGAAAGACAGTTGGACAGACAAAGGAGTTGCTAACGATCAGGCTGGGAGGGTGAATAGTTGTTAATGGGAACTGTTAGTGACTAACAACAGGGGGTGTGTAGTGGCAGGCTATGTGGTAACAAGGCCTGGTGTATGGGGTGGGGGCCTGGGACATGGGAGAGTTTAGGCCTTAAATTATTGAACTCAATATTGAGTCTGGAGGGCTGTAGGGTCCCCAAGCAGAAAATGAGGTGTTCTTCCTCCAGTTTGCGTTGGGCTTCACTGGAACACTGCAGTAAAACTGAGACAGAGATGTTGGCGCGGGAACAGGGTGGTGTGTTGAAGTGGCAGGCAACTGGAAGCGCAAGGTCATTTCTGTGACAGAGCATAGGTGTTCTGTGAAGTGGTCATCCAATCTACACTTCGTTTTCCCAATGCAGTGGAGACCACATTGTGAGCAGCGAATGCAGTAGACTAGATTCTGGGAAGCGCAGGTGAAGTGTTGCTTCACCTGGAAGGCATGTTTGGGCCCTTGGATACTGGGGAGGGAGGAGGTAAATGGGCAGGTGTTGCCCCTTTGTCAGTTACAAGGGAAGGTGCTGCAGGGCTGTGGGGAGGTGTTGGGGATGAAGGAAGTGTGGATCAGGCAGTCCCGGAGGGAATGGTCCCTGCAGAAGGCGGACAAGAGAGCAGAAGGGAATATGTGTCTACTCCTTTGTCTGTCCAACTGTCTTTCTCTCTCTTTGGGCTCTATCCACCTCGCTATTTTCTGCATATAAACTGACGTTTTCCCAGCCATCATCATTTCTGAGGAAGGGTCACTGGACCCGAAACGTTAACTCTGTTTTCTCCTTCACAGATGCTGCCAGACCTGCTGAGCTTTTCCAGCAACTTTGTTTTTGTTCCTGATTGACAGCATCTGCCATTCTTTTGGTTTTTATTTTGATGAGATGACAAGTTGTGTATTGACTTTGTGTAATAAATTGATGGAATGAAGGCTTGTCTCAAAACGTAAATAACTAACAAAAGCCACAGGGATACAAAGCATAAAAGTGAGATTCCAGCAAAAACCAATATGTTAAAGCAACAACAAAATATTTAGCTGCTCTTGACTTAATCTGTAACCAGTTTTCAGGCAGCTGATGGTTCACCTAACAAGCTTAAATTTTCCAAACTTTCTTAATACCACAGTTAAGTGCATACTATTGGGAAAGCCAATTTAAGGTTATCAGGATTGTAGTGATTGTAACAAGGTCAGCCAACTGGGCATCAAAGAATATGAGTTCCCTGATTGGTGCTGTTAATCTGATCCAATCAGGGAGCCCCGGCTGACAGATATAAACAGGAGTGTCAGAGGTTCTGTTCACCCTGAGAGCTGGCTCTGAGGAAGCTGAATCAAAGTCAAGGATTCTCCACGTGTAAATAAAGGGTGACTTGCTGATGGGACACTGGCATCTGTGGAGTTATTTCAAGGGGTTGATGGGAATGCTGAATTTGAAATACTAACAGTCAGCCAATGCTTTTATTAGAAGGTGGAACAGACTTGAGGAGCCATATGGCCTACTTCTGCTTCTATTTTCTATGTTCTGCACCACAAGATCACCTAATCCATCCGTTAAGGAAACATAAAACCACACAAATCAATAAGAAGTCCTTGATGCATGCAAAACGAAAATGACTCATTGAACACACAAAATGCAAGGGCAGCAGATAGATGGGAGCACCACCGTCTGCAATTTCCCCTCCAAGCCACTGAGCGCCCTGACTTGGAAATATATCACCCTTCCTTCACTGTTGCTGGGTCGAAATCCTGGAAGTCCCTGCCTAAGGACACTGTGGATCTACTAACAGCACGTGGACTGCAGCAGTTCAAGAAAGCAGCTCACCACAACCTTTTCAAGGGAAACTAGAGGCAAGCAATAAATGCTGGCCAGCCAGTAATGTCGACACCCCATAAGAGAAAGGAAAAATGTGCTAAAATGTGATAAAGTTAATGCTCTTTTGCAAACTTCTCAGTTTGTGCAGAAAGTGTTTAAGTGTAAAAGAAAACATGACTTTTTTTCTTGCAGGAATCTCTAATAGTTGTGAGAATGCTTTTCAAATTTACAATTCAAGTTGAAATTAATGAAAATTTTGAAATGCATGAATTCATCATATCAACCAATACAGATTTGTAACAGCCAGTTTTCATTGTCAGTTTCAACAAGTATAATCATGTTTTGGATTGATAAATGTTGTAAATGTTATATATGTGGATTTTTGGAAGGCACTCAATAAGGGTACGTCACAAGAACAAAAAAAAATCAGTTAGGCGGTATTAAAGAAAATGTGACAGCATGGCTAGACTAAAAACAAGAATAGTTAGTGTAAGTAGTGCACACTAGAGGTGAATGTTGGGTCTTTGCTGTCAGTATGTTTTCATATTTGGGCTTGACTGTAAGGGCAGAAGCTTGAATCAGAATTTTGAAAGAACAATCGTAGGTAAGCAGTCAAGAGAACTGCAAAAAATGGAATGAAGACATTAGCGGACAAGCAGATGGATGTCACATAAAATTTAATTTGGTTGAATGTGAAATAATACATTTTATGAAGAAAAGGAAAAACAAGAATGTATATTTAATTAAAATATTATGAAAGAGGCAAATACAATCAAAGGCAATATTCCATTAGCTTTCCTTATTATTTGTGTACATTCATGATCACTTTTTGTGATTCATCGAAGAGTACACTCAGATCCCATCTGTATTGCTTCACTCTGTAGTCTTTCTCTGTTTAGGTAATATTTTCTGTTTCCTTATTTTTCTACAGCTGAGAATAATTTCATTACTTGTATCTTCTGTTTCATTGCATGAAGAATTAATTTCCATATCTACAGCATGATTATGGCAGGAATGTAGCATGAATTGGAGATGGAGAAATGTCATTTCTTTGTTATCAATATTACGACAGACTTGGTAATCACCCAGGGATTTAACTGTACAGTGGCATTATCAAATTATCTCAAGTGAACATGCAATTTTTATGCTTTAACTTTTGTTTTAGGCTTGGCAATTGAAAGATTTTGTATGACGGGTGGAACAAGTCCTGTCAATTATCTCAAGGCATATCATACCAACTTGTACCTTTCATCAGATCCTATGAAAGTTGCAAATGCATTAAATGAAGGTAAGGATGAAGAAGTCAATACATCACAGAAATAGAAGTGTATTTTTTAATCTTAAAATTTCACTGCAAAGGCAACCAATGGCTTGGATGTTAAGGAACCACAGCTATGATTATTAGCTTTTGTTTATTGGAATGATATACAGAATATGCATGTTGGGGGTGGAGTGCCATGCAGAATAAGCTATTTATAAAATTGTTAGCTACTTAAAGATCAGGAAGGTCATCCATTGTTCATTTCCAGTTAGGTACTCTGAATGGCCTTTCGTTATGACATTCAAATATTTCTGAAAGGGTTCAAGACTTTATTCCTCTATTTGTTTTTTTGAATAACTATTTCTCAAATATTCATCATCCTATGTGAAGATGTTGTAATCAGTCCTAAGTTTATCTCTCGTAAGTCTGAAATTGTCTCCATTATTCACTTAGAGATAGTATGAACTGCCGATGCTGGAGCCAGAGCTAACACAGTGTGGAGCTGGAGGAACTCAGTATGCCAGGCAGCATCAGAGGAGCAGGAAAGTTGATGTTTCGGGTCGGGACCCTTCTTCAGAAATGATTCGAAAAAGGGTCCCAACCCGAAACATCAACTTGCCTGCTCCTCTGATGCTGTTTGGCCTGCTGTGTTCCTCTAGCTCCACACTGTATTATCTCCATTATTCAATTCCTATGTTTGAATGAATATTCTAGGTTTTTAATACTCCTAACATGTTGATTGGCCTAAATTTCTCCAGTCCATCTTCATACATAGGTCCATGATACAATGGATCTGGTCTAGTGGTTCTTCTTTGTACTATCTGTCAACAAGGTCCCTCACAATAGGCTTATCCAGAAGATTAAGATGCATGGAATCCACTGAGACTTGGCTGCATGGATTCAGAATTGCCTTGCCCATGGAAAGCAGAGGGTAGCAGTGGAAGGTTGTTTTTCAGGCTGGAGGCACATGACTAGTGGTGTTCCACAGGAATCCATACTGGGACTGCTGCTGTTTGTGATATGTATAAATGACCTGGATGAAAATGTAGATGGGTGGGTTAGTAATTTTGCAGATGATACAAAGATTGATGGAGTTGTGGATAGTGTAGAAGGTTGTCAAAGGATACAGTGGGATACAGATCAGTTGCAGATATGGGTGGAGAAATGGCAGATGGAGTTTAATTTGGGTGAGTGTGATGTGCTGTACTTTGGGAGATCAAATGTTAATGAAACGTATACAATGGCAGGAACCTGAACAGCACTGACGTACAGAGGGATCTTGGGGTTCAAGCCCATAGCTCCCTGAAAGTGGCCAAACAAATAGATAGGGTGGTAAAGAAGGTGTATGGTATGCTTGCCTTTATTGTTCAAGGAATTGAGTATAAGAGTCAGGATGTCATGTTGCAGCTTTGTAAGACTTTGGTTAGGTCACACTGAGAGTATTGTGTTCAATTCTGGTTGCCACATTACAGGAAGGGTATGGAGGCTTTGGAGAGGGTGCAGAAGAGGTTTACCAGGATTAGAGGGTATGAGCTATAAGGAGAGGCTAGAAAAACTCGGGTTGTTTTCTTTGGAGCAGTGCAGGCTGAGGGGAGCCTTGATAGAGGTCTATAAAATTATGAGATGCATAGTTAGGGTTGCCAGTCAGAATCTTTTTCCCAGAGTTGAAATGTATAAAACTAAGGGGCAAGCATTTAAGGTGAGAGGGGGAAAGTTCAAAGGGGATGTGAAGGGCAAGTTTTTTGAACAGATAGGTAGGGTGTGGAACGCGCCGCCAGAGTTGGTGGTGGAGGCAGATACGACAGGGGCATTTAAGAGATTTATAGATCAGCACATGAATATGCAAGGAATGGAGGGACATGGACCAAGGGCAGGCTGAAGGGATTAGTTTAATTTGGCGTCATGTTCGGCACAGCAACATGTCCGAAGAGCCCGTTCCTGTGCCGTACATTTTTATGTTCTATGTTCCACCTGCAGACCTTGAACGTCTGTCCTGTTGCTTAACTACTAGAAGTGGATCTGATTGGACCACAGAGATATAAAATGTGATTAATATCTCTTCTGATTTGTATTTCACTATTTAGCTTTGTGATTCAATATTCAATGTTGTATTGATTGGTCACAGTACTTTACATGGTTTGGATTAAATTTCATCAGCTATTCTTATACCCATTTGTGTATTTAGCAACATTATATAACTTGGTTGCATTTGACCCTGATTCTATGACCTGTCTTTGTTGATGTCATCCACAAATTTGATCACTTCATACTGATTTTCAGAATCTATCTATATATCACATATTGTAGAAATGGTGAATTCTGAAACATTGAACTCACTAGTTTATCCCTCCTGTCTTAAAAATGACTCCATGCTAATGGGTAGAATTTGTTGCCCTCCCCAGGACCAGGCTGAGAGGTTACATGATCAAGTCCACCCAACTAAAACCCCCTCCACCCAACTAAAACAAAGATGGGGAATTTTCAGCTCAGTGGTCCTCCTCTTGAGGCCAATTGAGGCCCTAACATAGCCCATTAGTCATCACTTTAATGGCCCCATTCCCCACATACTGCAACAACTAATATTCAGTAATGAGGCCATTTGGAAAAACATTCTGTTGTCTCCCCTTCCAACTCTATTTGATTTAGCCTCCTTCCCACTCTCCCTATCTCTCCCTCACCTTCAATGGTCTGCATTGGCCTTGCTAGACATTGCACATAGTTTGAATAATTGGAAACACAGGTGATTTAGTGGTGGTGGATAATAGATGAAAGTACCACAGATAACTTGGTGATGGGAAAAAGCCATTTGGTTTTGTGTGATAACATTCTGTTCAAACTGCTCTGTGACTACAGTTGAGAGATGGCCTTGTTATGATTGAGGAAAAAGTCCAAGAATGTCTAATCTCAGTACGCAATGTTTACACAACTGATTTATTTGATGAATATATTGCAGTATCTTGTAATAATTTTTTTTGAAGAGGTTTTCCAATGACTGTGTATTTAATTATACATAGAACACAAAAGCATAAAAAAAGAGCCATTCTGCTCTCAGAGCCTACTCCACCATTCATTGAGATCATGATGGATCTTCTACTTGTTAACAGAATTTTCCTGTACTATCCACATATCCCTTGATATTTATAAAATGTAGATATCCATCAAACACAGTCTCCGACAAAGTCAACAAATGAACCTCGACAGCACTCTGGTGCATACAATTCTAAAGATTCACCTCCCTCTGAATGAAGTCTGAATTGGTCTCCCCGGTATTCTAAATGACTATGCCTGTTCTTGGTGATGTTGCTGGGCTGAAGATGTGCCTGCCCTCTGATCGTCTGAATCCTATTGGAGGCAGATTATCCTGACTCAGAAGGGTAGATAACCAACCAACTCCTGACACACAAAATCACGCAACTAACTGTCTGACCACTGTGAATTCTGATTGGCCTTCCAATGGTGGTAGAAGTGAGCTCACTCTGTACTTTCCAGTGAGTGTGTGTTCACTACCTCCAGATTAAATCCCAGCCGTTTCTTTATGTTTGATCTCAGATGATCTTGCTTGTACTGCTTATAATTTCTATTTCTAATATGAATACCTTGCTGATGTTCATTTTGTCATCTTTCATTGCTGGTGTTTCTCTCTGCCTTTGTGATCAGTGTTTTTGCATTTGCTCATACTCATTTCCTTCTTATCCTGTACTTGTATAATGTGTTCACAAACACTGATATATACAGCTTTTAAAGTTGTTATTTCCCTATTATCAACAATATTGACAACTACCAGAAGGTTCTTATTTGCTCCACTGGAGGCAGTTCAGAGAAGGTTCACTAGGATGATCCCTGGTATGGAGGGATTGCCTTATGAGACAGGTTGAGATTCTGCTTTCTGAAGTTTAGAAGAATGAGAGGTTTCCCCTCATGGGCAAGTTTAGAACCACACTGAATAGTCTCAGAATAAAGGGCCAATTTAAGACTGAGATGAGGAGGAACTTCTTCTCTGAGAGTTCTGCATCTTCGGAACTGCTTGCCACAGAGAACTGTGGGGGCAGAGTCCTTGTGTATATTTAGAGCTGAGATCGATAGATTCTTCATCAGTCAGGGATGGAAGGGTTATGGGGAAAACATAGGAAAGTGTTTGCGAGGAATGTCAGGTATGATCCTATTGAGTGTCAGAGCAGTCTCAAGGGGCTGAATGGCCAACTCCTGTTCCAATTTTTTATGATCAGAACAGTCTGAAAAGGGTCACTGGATCCAAAACATTAATGCTGCTTTCTCTCCACAGATGCTGCCAAACCTGCTGAGATTTTCCAGCAATTTCTCATTTCCTCCTAACTCCATGTACAATGCTTGACCTTGAACCTTGATCTAGGATTAAGATGAGCATGAGTAAAACTAGGAGCAGACTGAGAAGAATTAGCAATCTTTCCCAAAGAGACCTGCTACTCAATAGGAAAGAGGCAACAAGCACAACAGTACACTTCACATGTGACATTAAAGGATATAGACTGAGAATCAGCTTTCTTAACACGTCAAGTTCAATAACTTTAGGGCTTGAGCTCTTCCATGACCTTACTCCAACCCCCACACACCAGGCCTTGTTATCACGTAGTCTGCTATTACACACAACCCATTGTTGGTCACTAACAGTCCCCATTAATCAGTATTCACTCTCCTGACTAGATTGTTATCCACTCTTTTGTCTATCCAACTATTCTTCTCTCTCTTTGGGCTCTATCCCCACCTATCATTTACTCCTTGTTCCCACCATCTACCCTATCTTCTGCATATATACCAACATTTTCCTAGGTACCATCAATTCTGAGGAAGGGTCACTCAACCTGAAACATTAACTCTGATTTCTCTCCACAGATGCTGCTACTGAGCTTTTCCAGCAATTTCTGTTTTTGTCTCTGTGCTATATAGCCATCACCTTCACACTGGCTTGAAGCTACTGCTCAATTTCAACCCTCAGTACATTATCATCCAGCTCTGTCCTCATTGTATCATCATCATTATGTATGTTTATGATGTTACTCTTCATTACCCTGAAACCTTTGTCCCCCTTATATTTACATTCTACACATCTCCCACCCTCCCCAAAATCTCAGACTTCACAGGGTTAGTCTTGGTGACTTTTTGACAAGTTACTCTGATGTGGTTCAGGTTGCATTCCAGAGTCTAAGAGGTTCTGCACTCTTTCTTCTTTCAGTGTGAGTGTACCTGTGCCAAGTGGTTGGAAAACTTTTGTTCTTCCTCTTCTGAGAAAAAGTCCCAAGTATCCATTGACATTTAAACAGAAATTGCTGGAAAAGCTTAGCAAGTCTGGCAGCATCTGTGAAGCGAAATCAGAGTTAACATTTCAGGTCCAGTGATCCTTCCTCAGAAAAGGTTTTATTGATTTCTTGTTCAATGAGATCAATCTATTATTTATTATTAGAATCACATGATCAGTTTTAATGATCTATGATCTTGGTTGTGATGTTTCTCTATGATCATACCTACTCTCTGTTGCTGTCTTGTGCATAATTCTTCCTGGGCTCCTGCTCTGGTGACTCTTATGCTCTGGAAATTTCTTTGAAGATTCAAGCCTATCTGATCCTTTGTTCCTTTTTGCTTTCTGCTCTGTTGTAGTCATTCTCAGTAATGTTAGGTTGTATTGTTTAAAACACAGCTCAAAGTTGTATTCCCAATCTGCCGTCTATCAATAACTCTGGTTCTGATAACCCATTCTATGATGGTAAGGATCAGTGACTTTATGCAAGATTTACATCCTTATTCTTTTACGATGATGGATTTATGGTCCAGACTTCTCAAGCAGCTTCTCCATTTGCTTGAGGAACAAGAGGTGATCTAGTGACATGAACAAAATAATATTCACGTTTGAATCTCTTAGACTGTGGACTAATGTCTAACACCACAGTATGCGGATTGCTGTGCATGGAGTAGATTCTCAAGTGATTTTATTTCTGCCTGTACCGTAACATATTATAACTGGTTGACAACAGTCCACCTTGAGTAATAGTCAATGATGATAATGTGGTATATAAATGACTGGCCATTCAATAATTGAAATACACACTGAATGCCTGAAACCCCTGTTTATAGATTTAAAAGATCTGAAAGGAATCTGAGGGGAGACATTTTCACACAGAGGGTGGTTCCTATGTGGAATGAGTTGCCATAGGAAGTGGTAGATGCAGCTAAAGTTGCAATATTTAAAAGACATTTAGACAAGTACATGAATACCAAGGGCAGGCAGAAGGAATTAGTTTAATTTGGCATTATGTTCAGCACAACATTGTGGACCCATTCCTCTGCTGTATGGCTCTATGCTCTATGAATAGGAAAAGTTTGGAGGGATATGGGCCAAATGCAGGCAAGTGGGACTAGTTTGGGTTAGGAAATTTGGCCAGCATGGATGATTTGGACCAAAGGGTTTGTTTCTGTGCTGTATGACCCTATGACTCAGTAGGATGCTGTATTCTTGTCATTGTCTTGCGTATCTAATATGTCATTAGTGATGGTTCTCACAGTATAAAGGAGCATATTGATCTGATCCCTCTGGCCATTCTTAACTAATCCCAAAGCTCTTCTGTAGCTGGTGAACCTTTTCTTCCTGTTCTCCTTTCCTGGACCTGGTGTGTTCTCCCGATAGCTTGGAATGATTTTGGGAGTGGCAGCTTGTTTCCTCCCAAGCCCTGGGGTTGTGCATCTGTCCCAGGGTTTATTCATTCAGATTGGTGCTCACATCTGTCTACTCTCCTGATTTGTTTTCCAACCTTCTGCAACTGTGATGTTCCCATGTCCCCTGTTCTTCTTGACCAGTTACAGTTGCTAACTTTGACGCTTCTTTTTGCCTTTTCCCTTGCTGCCAGAATCTTTTATTATAAGTTTGGGGTCTACTTTCTTTAGTCTCCCAAAGTAGTGCCGTTGGGAGTTCATCGAACTTTCTGTGCCCTGAGTTATAGACATGCCCTCTTCACAGCAGGTGAGAGTTTGTGCTCCCTTCCAGCTCTTTCTGTTTAGTTACAAAAACAGAAGTGCTGGAAAAGCTCAGCAGGTTTGGTTGCAACTGTGAAGAAAAATCAGAGTTAACGTTTTGGGTCCGGTGACCCTTCCTCAGGAAGTTTGTTTGGTTTTCTGTTTAGTTATTTGATTCTGACACTATCACCATTAGATATTAACCACATTACTTGACAGTCACAAACAATTTTGGCCTGGACTCCGACTTCCTCGTGAGCCTGGTGACCATTTTATTGAAGAAGGGTCCCGACCCGAAATGTCAACTTTCCTGCTCCTCTGATGCTGCCTGGCCTGCTGTGTTCCTCCAGCTCCACACTATGTTACCACATTATGTCACTGTTTTTCAAAGTCAACACTACAATAAGCATCTTTATGGCAGGCTCATTCAATGGAGCTGCAGCAAGCATTGCAAAATAGAACAGTCAGCTACCAACAAGAGCATCTCTCAATGATATATTGGGCAGGTTGCCTGATATCTAGATATTTGACACCAATGACACTAGAGGTGATGGGTTTTATCGTGTAGGATAAAGGTAGGAAGGATCTCCTGGAGCAGAAGGAAAGGTTAAGGATGGTGAGAAGATGAGGGGGTTAGAGACACAAGTGTCATGGAACAAACAACAAAGGCAGTAGCAATGATTGTAGAAAAAAATGAGAAGTCCAGAGTAAGTGTTAATATGAGCTATTAATGACAGAATAAAGGTCAGCTTTGGTGAAAGCACAACGAAGAAAACCAGACAATTGTGGGTTGTGGGGGGAGCAGTGAAACAAGATAGAGTGCAGGGCTCATACAGATCATGTTATCTTTCTAGTATTGGATGCTTTCAGCATCCGGGAGTTTTGCAACTCAGGAGTGTGCACAGCATTTGTAACCATGTCTCCTGAGTGAGTATTTTTAACCTCCTTCACATCAGTAAAGCATAAAGCAACTAAAGTGTTCTATAAACTTAAAGAACTCTAAATATACTCTTATTCAATCATAGGCTGTGGGCATCGCTGGCTGGGTCAGCATTTCTTGTTCATTCCTAACTGCTCAGAGGGCAGATAAGAGTCAACCACATTATTGTGGGATAGGCCAGACTGGGTAAGGAAGGCAGATTTCCCTCCCTAAGGATGTTAGTGAACAAGATGGTTTTTCACCAATAATTCATAATGGTTTTATGGCCATCATTAGACTCTTAGTTCCTATTGAATTTGAAATCTTCCATCTGACATGGCAGGATTTGAGCCCGAGTCCCAGGACAATATCTGGGTCTCTGAATTACTTGTCTAGTGATAATACTACGAGGCCATCATCTCCCCTAATCACTATTCCAGATACCTTCATTACATCTGTATATAAGACCATAAGATATAGGAGAAGAAATTAGGCCATTCAGCCCATCAAGTCTGCTCCACCATTCAACCATGGCTGATACGTTTCTCAACCTTATTCTCCTGCTTTCTCCCTGTAATACTTATAAGAAATATACGGATATCGAAGGAAGGCTTATCCAATATTGACTTAACACTGCCACAGCACAAGAATATGAGTAAGAGCAATTTAAGATGGTAACACAGAAAATATCAATCTCAATAAGGGAAATCTTCTGACAAATTGCGTGATCAATCGTTTCCACCTTGTGACCTGTTACAACTTTTGTTAGTCTGGCAGACATTGTCCATTCTCTAAAATAAGCCTTTCTATCAGTTACAGACAAACCCTCTGTGAGTTTGAGATGGAACCTACTATGTACAGTAAATATGTAAAATCAATTATTACTGAATTTGTTTCACAAAAGGAGACCCTGGGCCAAAAATTCCACAACGCCACTGACATAGTCCAATGATATGTGGAGATGGCCTGGGAATTAGATTAGGAACTGGATTCTAGCTTTCAGTGCCAGTTCCCATAAGTTGCTGCTAGGTATGCCTGGTGAGAAGGAGCAAATTGACTGTAGCAGGAATGAAACCAGGACTCCCTTGGGAGACGAGGTCTGGATTGGTGCCTTTGAAGATTTTTTTGTTGTCTGTGATTTTATTGGCACCCTTTTTAAGGGAGCACATGGGCAACCATCTGGCATGTTTCCAGAAATAAAGGAAGCTACAGACTATACTCCCAGTGAAAACTGGGAGGCTGATTTGGAAGGGATAACGTGCTAAGATTGATGTTCAGGTGTATGGCTGGACCAGAGTTTTCAATGATCGGTTGCAACGATAGAGATAAAGATATAGGATGTTGCAACTGAATGTAGATAATGTTCTATCCTCACTCTGCAGCATTCAATTTTGATCTTGGTAAACATTGTATTCACAAAATGAAATGCAGAGAAATAGTTTGGGTTGTGCTTGAAACAATACTTTGTAGGGGAGAGAAACAAAACTTACAAAGCTGGACAGCTTTGTTTCTGCCATTTCAGGAATTGCAGCAGCAACAATGTGTCACCTTGACAAAGAAGCACAACTTTCTGAGAAGCAACTAAGAGTGGCATTTGATGGCGACTCCTTTGTACAGCAAGACCAGGATGAGAGAAGTGCACAGAGTTACATGCTATCAAATTCGCCCTCTAGTCCTGAGTCAAAGTTAACATCACAGGTATGGCTTACTGTTGAACCTGAAAGAAGGTCTTATTTGATGAAACATTTGGGCGGTTGACATAAAACAGGAACATTTATAGTCTGTGGCATTTTAATTTCAAAAATATCTGAAAGAATTTCTTCGTGCTGGCAGACAATGTTTCTTGTTATGGAGCACATGTTAGGAATTCAAAATTGTCAACACACAATTTTCTTCCCACATTAGTGGAGGGTCAAAGCATCGATTAGAATTACAAACTCATAAAATTGGTTTTCAAGTATCAAAAAATGAAACATAATTTCCATTATAAAATTGATTACCTGAATATATTTTTTTACCTGCACACGAAGGAATATCAGGTTACATATTTAGACTGTTGCATGTCTGATTTAGTCAGAAAAGGTATTCAGTAATCATTTCTTATTGAAAAGTTGTTGAGAACACGTTTAGACTAGTGGATTTTTTTTTACATTGTATTTTATAGAACTCTTATCAGTGTTCAACACTTTATGTATCACATTTAGTTGCAGCTGTCTTGAGGTAATAGGATGATAATCAAGAACTTAGCACTTAGTTTGAAGTTCCTCTCGACTATTGGAGCTCAGTTGAATTAAGAAGACCAATGCTTAATGTCCATAATCCATGGTAATGATTTCAGAGACAATATACTGGTAAACGACTGTGCTGTATTAATAGGATTCAACTAATCTCTTGATCATAATGATCTTAGTGGTCATTAAGATTAGAATAAATCAGTTATGATCAGATATGAGGTTGAATAGCCATCTACTTTTACATCTAAAATTATTAATTTCTTTAGCAGCTAAACTATTCTCCAAGCACACTTTAGGAACCATTTCAAAAACCCAGCAGTACACAGATCAGCTGAAGGGATTATTAAATAAAAGACAGGGACTTGACAATTTTTAAAAAATTTTAATTCAGTTCTTGTGTTTGTTGCTTCTATTTAGTATTGAGCTTCGTTCCTTGTTTGTATTTTCTATTTTATTTCAAAAGGCAAACTATGTGATTTGTTTTCTTTTGCCCTTGTGAGCAAACAATACCTCCTCCTAATAGCCACTAATACCAAATCTCAGTTATTTACCAACTATTAAATTATATTCCTTTCAAATTGTCTGCCTTAATGTAATGTGTGAGCATCTGCTTTTATAGATTTTAAGTCTACTCTACTTACATTCTATTCCCCTTCTACACATTTTGAGTTGATCTTTTCTGAATTATCTGTGACGTTTCTCTTACTTAAATATATGCATGAAGAGTAGGAACGGGATGCAAAGATAGCAGCATTTTTAAAATAGCATTTTGAATTGGAAGCATAGGAGATTTTAAATCAGCCTCCTTTAGTTGTAGTTTGAAAATCTCTTTGAAATTTATGATAAAATAACTATTAACTTGCTAGTTATGATTAATGTCTTGAGGTGCCGGTGTTGGACTAGGGTGGACAAAGTTAGAAGTCCCATGACACCAAGTTATAGCCCAACAGGTTCATTTGAAATTACAAGCTCTCGGAGGTCTCCTGATGAAGGGGCTATGCTCCAAAAGCTTGTAATTTCAAATAAATCTGTTGGACTATAACCTGGTGCCGTACAGCTTCTGGCTTTAATGTACTAGTGAGGAAGGTTAAGGTTGTGTTTAATATTTTGGAAGGGACATTTCCTTTAGTGAGTTGGAATGAAATACATGAAAATACTTTTTTTTCTTGTCCTAAATTGTAACGTTGCTGCTGAAGATAAGGTTTTGGTGACATGTGGAGAAATTTTGTTTTTCACTTGCAAGTAGATTTCTCAAGGAAATGAAGGAAAAAATTCACAAGGTTATATCACTGGGTATCATTTTTACTCAATTTACCTGTATGCTGACAAACAGCAAATGTAATCTCAACATTGAAGGGGAAGCAATATAGAACTATGCATCATTAACCATATATTTGTGCTGGCATAAATACTTGAGAATATTATGCAAGATGACATTGATTCTCAATATAAAAGCAAAATATTTAAAAACAGTAAGTCATAGTATCATTTAGCTGGATTTTATTGAGATATTATTTATTTGGATGTATGTTGATATCTGATTAAGTTTTACCTTTAAATTTGTAATGAATTTGAAAGATTATTAGCACATTAACTAGTTGAAAAATCTGGCTTGACAATGAGAATTATTATTTTATAGTAATTGAAAAAATCTCTGGGACACAGACATATACAATTCCACAGGGTTTGTTCTGGGACCCTGCTACCTGTACAATACTCATAAATGTTTTAGAATGTTTCCAATAGCAACTACACTTTTGAAAAAAAAAACTCTTTTGTCTGTAAAGGACTTTTTGAGACATTCTGAGCCGTTTGAAAATGCTATATAAATGCAAGTCTTTCTTTTTCTTCCATGCTTTGGAGAATAATATTTTTGTAATGTTATAGCATTTTGCTAATGATGTAGAGATATGTGGCAATGTGATGTGAATAAATGAGATATCCAACACCAAAAAAAAATGACCTGGGTCAATTATACTCAAGGTGAAGAAAAGAAAATGGGTTTTAATGCAGATAAATATATAGTACTGCATAATGGAACAGGAAACATAGGATGTATGTGATGACACAGCATTATTTAGCAATAACAGAAAAGGTTTTAGATGTGATTACTGATTTTCCTGGTTATTACAAATCATTGAAATATATTCCAAATACCAGCTTGAAGAAATTGCCTATTTTGTGACAACTTGTAGAACCAGATGATGCAGCAAAAAAAAAGTTACACAGGAATTTGGTTAATGATGCTATTCGGTAGATGTATTGCAAATTATTTTAAATACTGTGAAGTATATATTCCACAATGGTTAAAAGTATAGGGCCTAAGTCTGATGCAAGGATTTAGGAAGAGGTGCTCACATTGTGGTAGATAAATTACTTTCATTGTCCAGACAGTATGGTTGTCATATATTTTATTTTTTGGGTTCAGTGTTACTAACAAGACATGTAAGTAAACCTTGCATTCCCTTCCAACTGAAAAATTGTTCAGTTATTCAGTATTTTAGGTACATAGTCAGCAGACCAAAGGATGGGACAGGAATCCATACCTGATACCTGCCCACCATAACCAAAACACAACCCATCACCAGCTGCCTCTCTTGATAACTTGAAAGTCGACATTCTGATAAAATTCGACATTCTGATGTATCTGGTCTAATCTTCGGGGTTTTTGCTTCCAACCTGCCTGTTCTCCTTTCCACCCGAATGAAAACATTCACATAGTTCTTTTGACTGTATGTCTGTATATTATAAACTCCCCTTTAATAACAACAAAGTACTGTGGATGCTGAAGCTCTGAAATAAAAACAGAAAGTGCTGGAGAAACTCAGCACGTTTGGCATCATTTATGGAGAGAGAAAAATGAATTAATGTTTTGAATCCAAAATGACTCTTCTTGAGAACAGTTTCATGGAAGAGGAAACATAAAATGTAACATGGCGATTAGGCGTTCTTCATCAATAGAAAAGATTTGAGATGTGGCAACTGATTTTTCTGTCTGTTACTGATCATTATAACATCTTCAAAAGGTGCTTACTTTTCTGTTCTAAATATTTTTCAGTGGGAGCAGCAAGTGTAATGCTGTGCTGTTACTCTTCATTGAGAATCTTGTGATCCAGCTGTTTCAATCCTTCTACAACAAACACTGAGAATGCTGGAGAAACTCAACAAGTCTGGCAGTGTCCCTGGAGAGAGAAATAGAGGCGACTTTTTTGAGTTGGCTATGAGTCTTCTTCAGAAGTCAATTTGATCCTTTGCTGAATCATAGTGATTTTCTGAAATGATTACCTGTGGTTCAGCTTCTGAACTTGTTGGGTGCTTTAGTCTCAGTGTACAGGAGACCTCTTGATTTGACCAATGGAGATTCATCTTAAGAGATCAATTTGTTATTGGTCTCTCTCTTTCTCATATTCCCCAATTGCTGGTTCCACAGCAGATCTCTGAAGGAGTGAACCAACAGAAAGGACTGTGAGCCAAAAAATCTGAGAAATTGCAGCTGAAGATACTTGTAGAGTGGACAGTGTAGTCCAAGAACATTGCATCAGTTCCTAGCCCCTCAGCCCTGCACAACTCCTTTGCAAGTAACTGTGAATTTGTCACTTATTCCATAATGCTCTACAGTTCCCTGAAATATTCTTCAATGTCTACATAGAAAATCAACCACAGTCCTTTAGTGGCGCATAATCCATCCTACCTGGTTTCCTGTTTTTCACACTGCACAGACAAATTATTAAACTCAGATATAGAACCAAGAAAATCTATACCTGTACTTTGAAAATAAGAAAAAAAATGTAAGTGCCTTTAAAAGATATTTGCAAGAGCACTCAATTCATCATCTAATCTGCAACATGTTGAAGGTCAGAACAGGAGACCTCAATTTCACTTTTATAATTTATTCAGCTTTTCATTCTATGTTTCGATATAACATACACTGACATCCGTGGTTCAGCTGAATTTCCTGATGAATATTGTTATTCAGATGAAGAGAAAAAGATAATTGTAGTAATGTATCCGAGGCTTTTGGTAGTTACACTACTCACTGAAAGAGATTAAAAAAAGATATTGTTATCATGGGAAAAGTTTCAAAAACTCTCAATTACTTGTGGTCTCTTTGCAAAATGCAGGAGAATATTAAAAACTAATCTTTATTGATCGCTATTACATATTAGTCAACAACTGCATTAACATTATATAAGGGATGCTTGGAAGTGAATTAGATTGAACTTTCTTTTACCAATCTAGCATTTCCTGGATTCTTGTATGTTCAAGGTTGAGTAAAGATTTAAAATACTGCCTTATTATCCACAATACATATCATTTTTAGATTAAGTGTGAGAATTTAAAGTTACTAGTCAATTTCGATGAAATAACAAGCAAACATTTTCAAAAATATTTTCCTATGTTTCATATTCCATAGGTCTTAGCCTCAGGTAGCTGTGTAGACTCATTATAATATAAGTTTCTTCA